GTGGGGGGGTGTATATTCGTTCTGATTTTATATATAAAGAGATAATACAAACCCTGTCCTAAAATTGTAAATTCAAAAGATTATTTTTTTACGACAGAGCTTCAAAAAGTCTAAAGAAAGGAAAATCTATAAAAAATAATGTTTGTCTGTTTGTTTGTGTTCAATAAACGGCTCAACTGATCGGGCCCAATTTTTTGTGCCAAACCACATGCCTTTGGGAAGTTTAAAAACAATGTACAGTAAAAAATGTAACAAACTTAAAGAGAGTACACTTTAAAACGACGACTAAGGTAAAATTGTCACCAGAAATAGGCGCGAACCGTCCTTAACTAAATGTACAGATATATGTGTGCAAACATAGCATATAAAGCTAAGTTAAGACGGAAAATAGTTGGGAAGATAAATAAAAGAGATCTAAGAATGCTAAGAGTGGAATTTGAAGAAAACAAAAAAAGTTTTTTTGAGAATTGTACAGAAGAGAATACAAATAAATGATTTTTAGCGCTGGCTGATAATGAGTGTCCATAAACGTAAGGAAAATATACATAAGAGTATAAATGATGAATAATAAAAGGAAACGAAACACGAAAGAATTGAAATCTAAGGAGTGAAATCATATGGGAAAGAAAGGGGTTTACTAAGGATAGAGTTAAGAATGAAAGGTAAAAAATACAAAGGATCATCAAAGAGGATTTACGAAAGAAAAAATAAAGAGAAAGTAAATGAAGAATAGATAAATAATGTAAAGAAATTCTGATAGAAAATTAAAGGAGAAGGAATAAGAGGCAGATGTAGAATAAAGAAAGGGATTGAAGAATAAGAACAAAGAAATGAGTAAAATTATGAACCAAGGACAAGGAAATGATAAAGAATAATATGATACGAGAGAGCGGAGACGGATTGGTCTCCAGTCCATTTACTCCGAACCTGACTGTATCCGGAAGAATTGTGAGCCGAACCCGAATTATTTTTGACAATACAAGATCAGTGGGGTACCAGGAGTCGAACTTTTACACTCCATTACACATCCTGGACTAGGAATAGAAAGGATTGCTAGCTGAATGAGTTCATATTTATATGAATGGGAGAGGAATATAATATCTGGGTTGTGTTCAGAGTAAAGAATATCTATCTATCTCCCATCTGTGTGTCTAGAATAAGGTATTCTGTAATGTTATTACCACGGATAGGTTTTTGTTTCCGAAAGTTTCCTCCAAAAAAGAGAAATTAGAACAGGGTTCGGAGAACAGAATAGAGGGAGGATTATACAAGATCAAGATCAGATTTTAGTATGCATGGGATCCAACTTTAGGTTTGAGTTTGCAGTACAGAGGATTCAGGTTAAGATTTTCGTATAGAGGATCCAGGCTCAGGTTTAAGTAGAGAGGTTTCACGCAACAAGGGATTTTAATGTAAGTGGTTAAGACGTTTCATTTTAAGAGTGAATAATTTGGATCAAAACGATGACGATATTCATTAATCTTTAAATTGTCAATTTATATATATAGAAATATATTTTCAATAAATGTGGAACTAACATCTACTTTTTTACTC